AACTAGGTTATTTCTATTTATACTTCCTCCCAATTGTATTCTGTGGCCCAGCAAGGATAAAGGGAAGCTTCCAGACCTTAGTTTTTTAAACCAAAGGACCAACATATCTACCATACTCAGAAGAGATATCTGAGTCAGAGAGTAATAAATGCACAATATCTGAGAGACAATATAGTGCATGAATTAAAGTTGGGATTACAAGGATATTGAGATATAGATCTCATTCCATTTACTAGTCGTGTGAACAAGTTACTTATTTAATTTATTTCTCCCTATATTTTCTCTTTTGTTAAATGAAGGAAATAAAACAGTAACTACTCCATAAGTTTGTTATAAGGATTAAATAAATTAATGCTTGTAAAGCATTAATACATACGCATGTCCCATCATAGGTACTAATCTGAAAGATGGCACTGTGAGTTCCCAGCAGGGCAGCAGGACAAGAAAATTAGAAAACTTTCTGCGTTTTCTTGATTTGGAGCTTACATCTTAAGAGTGTAAGAAGCACAAAATAACATTCTACAATTGCACATTCAGTTGCATATTAAGCATCTAGATCAAGTATAACTATGCCTTTCCCAAAGTAATTTTATTACATACTGTTTTATTTGGAAAACATTTAAACCATCACAAGCAAGCATGGATTATAAAGCAACTTTATTTGAGGAAACATTAATATTTTTATTACAGTGTCTGATTGTGAAATAAACCTCTTTGATTGAAACCCACTTTTAACAGGGCTGAAGTGAAGACCACACTTTCTGCCTTATTTTTCAGCTATCCCATGTTCCAGTGCCATTGACACCAGCTCATTATGGGGAGCTCTAAAACAGAGGCGCTGGATAGATCAAGCCCATTTGTACCACCACCGGAGACAATTCACAGTGGTTGCCTCCCTGGCCCACTGAGTGTCTTTCCATGGAAAGACAGCTGTTCATGACTGCTTCTTGGTACAGGAAGCATGTTGAAGGAAAAGGGAGGTCAAGGAATTGTATTACCTAATGCAACTAGAATTTAATTTCTACAAGGTCATAAATTTTTGCTTTTTTTTTTTTTTTTACTACCATATTCCTGGCACTTAAAATTTGGTGATTAGCATATAATGTGCTAGATGAACATTCTGTTGGGTGAACGAATAATGCTGCTTCCTACTAGGAAGGAATTTTAGTATATATAGTGTCAGAGAGAAAGTATGTGCCAACAGGCCACCCAGGAAGTCCCAGGACCAGGAACAAAGTCTGCTGGAGATCATCCAGGAGATATTCTAGGTTCACATGGGTGAGTGATCTCCTCCTTGAAAGTGAAATATAATGGGAGGGCTAGGCAAGTGCCAATTCCACAGGCAGGTTCTGAAGTCCAAAGCTCACATGGCTAGGAAGAGTAGCTTGAATGAGCAGTGAAGGGAAATTCAGCTCCTGTGTCTGAGACTTTTTTTCTCTGCCTCCTGGACAGAAATGATCATTGTAGGCAGAAGAGACCAAGAGTGTGAGTGTTGGCCTAGCTAGAGGCATGAGTAGAAAGGGTAAGATGGCCTTACATACAGGAAAGACACTAGATCTAGAGAAGTGGCAACAAGGCCTTAGAAGCTCGTTCTTCCTACTTCATAAGGTTTGTGCTGTTCTGTAGGGATGCTACAATACTTGCAATAACATGGTGGAAGCCAGCTCCCTATAATGGTGATAAGGCTGAATTGAGCATGTACATGCACGTGCGTGTGTGTGTGTGTGTGTGTGTGTGTGTGTATCGACTCTTTTTATAATACTTAGAAAGATGACTTCATGACACTGGTAGAGAAATTGCTGGGTATGGTGGCTCATGCTTCTAATCCCAGCTCTTTGGGAGCTTGAGGCAAGTGGATCACTTGAGGCCAGGAGTTCGAGACCAGCCTAACCAACATGGTGAAACACTGTCTCTACTAAAAATGCGAAAAATTAGCCAGGTATGCTGGTGCAAACCTGTAATTTTAGCTACTTAGGAGGCTAAATGGGGAGGATCACTTGAACCCGGTGGAGGTTGCAGTGAGCCAAGATCGCACCACTGCACTCCAGCCTGAGTGAGAGTGAGACTCCATCTCAAAAACAGAAAAAAAAAAAAAAGATAAATAGGAAGGGTCTTATATTTCCTAAGCACCTACCAGGAGGCAGGTCCTTTGCCAAAGCATTTATGCATATTATCTCATCAATTTCCTATAGCAACCCTGTCATACATTATTAGTCCAATTTTACAAATGAGAAATCTGAATTTCAGAGAGCGTTTGTACTTCCCTAAAGTCGCATTGCTGTTTAGTGCAGGAACAGGATTTAAACCCAGGAACTGAGTCGTAGGGAATTTGCATCGCTTGAGGAAGCATTTTTGCTGAAATGAACATTTCCTCTTTTCTGGGCACCAGGTGCACTGAGCAAAACATGTTTCTAGCTTTTAGTAGTGAATGATTCTCACTCACAGATGCTGTACCAGTGGCACAGCTGGTGGATTGAGTCAGACAGGGACTGCCCACAAGATCATACAGTGCCCGATTGAATCCAGTGGCAGTTATCCCTGGAAAATTACTCAGACCACATTTGAAGTTTTGCTTCAAATGGATGAACTACTGGCGAGTTTGCTCTCAAATCATTGCTTTGATTTCTTGGTACCAAAGCAGTTTGACTTAAAGTCTGGTCCTCCCCAGCAAATTTATTCCCAGCTCCTCCCTCTTTCATTTGTCAGAAAGCCCTTCATTCGGAAACCCCTTTCCTTGCATCCTTCAGCCAGTTCTCAAGATTAACTCAACTGAAGATGGATAAACCCTTTCCAGGAAGAGAATTTTTTCTTACCACAAAACATACAATACACTGAACTTTTGCATTGCAACAAAGCAAATACTCGATCATGTCTTACATATTCTCTTTTGTCAATTATTTTTGCTCCTCAAAGAAATATATGAAGCTCCAAAAAAAATTAAATTGTCTCCCAGAAATAACCACTGTCAACATGTTAGTATATTCTTCCACCTCTTCCTTGCCTTGGATACACTTTAATGTCTTTTATTGGGCCTATTTGAGGTTGGTACACTTCAAGGTGGGTCAAGCTGCTGACCTGGGGTTTAGAAGGGCTCATTGTAAGAATACTTAGGATGGTCTCATTTGTGTGCTGTGCTTCCTTAGCTGCTCTAAGTCAGTGCTGGCAGAAGAGAGGACAGGGGAACTCAGTTCTTCTCTGCATGTTGCCATTTTTCTTTCTCTCAACTCTTTTGCTCCAGGAAGCCACCAGCTAACACTCTTTGTCAGGTACATCCTACCCAAAGCTGGAACAATTCTTCCTGCTAAAGGAAAACCTTCAAAGGAACCTGCTTCATTACCTGCGCTACACAACATAAACCAGTTTTTGATTTTATTGTTGACACTTTTACAGGGTACTGTTCAATAACCAATTCTCCTATAGAATCCCAACAGGTTACTTGAGTACACACTGCTTCTAGGATGTGCTAGCCATAGTGGAGTACACAGGAGTCTAAGGAGCTTACATTTCTACCAGGGGTAGTTCCGTTTAGTAACATTTATTGAGCACCTACTGGGTCCCAGGCAGAATATTTGCCACTAGTACAAAAACTAATTGTGAACTCTTCCCATTTCCATGAGAATGGCAGAGATGTACATGCTTTGAGAAAAAGAGGGATTCTCAGGGAATCAGACATGGGAGCACAGAAGAAGAATGCTTAGCCAAATTTGGGTGTCCAGGGAAAGCATTTGGGAAGATATCATGTATGAACTAAGTTTTGAAGGTTGAGCAGTATGTGAAAAACATTTGGGAAGGTTATGAGAGGTAGAGAAGACATCAAGAGCAAAGGGCAAGGACGAGATGTGTCTTTCTTATTCACTGTTGTATCTCTAGCTCTTAGTATCATGCCTGGCATATACTTGGTGCTCAGTAAATTCTTGTTGCATGAAAAAGTGCGAGGAGAAGGTTTTCAGGCATTTATGATGGCTACAGTGTACTTTGTGAGACCAGGAGGACTGTGAGATTTGATATACTGTCTATGTGTTAGAGAATAGTGAGAAAAGTTGAAGTTGGAAGCTTTGAAAAATTTGAAACAGTAAAAGGCAACATTTTTCCTTCAGTTTTTTCTATTCCCCTAATTTTTTATAATCAAATAATATATCTAATGTTCCAGTAAAACAATCATAACTGATACTAAGTGACCACTTACCAGGTCGCAGATACTCTCCTAAGTGCCTTCCATGCATCATCTCACTTGGCTTTCTAAAAATGCCGTGAGGTAGTTACTATTCCAATTTTACAGATAAGGGTATCACATCACAGAGTGTGTAATCAGTTGCATCACATGACCGTATGGTGATCAAACTAAGAATTGATGCAGGGAGTCTCTCCAGAATCTATGCTTTTAGGCACTATTCTGAAACCGACGTTTTAGAAAGCTATTCTGCTGAGATACATTGGTCATCTTGCTCCTTTTGGCCCTGGGACATCACAGAGGAAGTATCACTGAAGTCTGTCTTTCTACTGCCGTCATGTCTGAGTCAGAGTCTCTGAAAGAGACCAAATAACTGTGAAAGGTCTTCATTGAAGAGTTGAGCTTTGAAACAACCCATGAGAGTCTGGGGAGCCATTCTGAGCAATTGGGAACACTTGTGGAGGTAATGATACATCCAGACACCAAGTGCTCCTGGGCCTTTGGGTTGGTCACGTATGCCGCCGTGGAGGAGGCGGATGCAGCCCCAAATGCAAGGCTACACAAGGTGGAGGAAAGAGTTGTGGAGCCAAAGAGAGTTGTCTCAAGAGGAGATTCTCAAAGACTAGGTGCCCACTTAACTGTGAAACAGACATTTGTTGATGGCTGTATCAGTTCATTCTTGCACTGCTATCAAGAAATACCCAAGACAGGGTAATTTATAAGGAAAAGAGGTTTCATTGGCTCCTGGTTCTACAGGCTGTGCCAGAAGCATGATGCTGGCATCTTCTGGGCTTCTGGGGAGGCCTCAGGAAACTTTCTTTTTTTTTTCTTTTTTTTTAACAAGTACTCAGCATTTAATGAACCTCCCTCCATGTGGCTTCAAGCCACCAGGACACAGGCCCCCCTGACACCCTTAATCTTCTCCTCAGCTCTTCTGCTGAAGAATTTGGCCTTGACGATGACAGGCTGCTTTGGGAGCTTTCCCTTGCCCAGAACTTTATAGTAGCCCGATCACACCACATCAATGATGGGAGCAGCCCCAGTCTTGTTTTTAACAGCAGTCACCCGTGTCTGCTCACTGACCAAAGTCCACAATTTGTCAAGGTTGATAGTTGGGCAGAAGCTCTGGTTCCTCTTTAAGTGGTAATGCCTCATACCAACTTTCCCAAAGTAACCTGAGTGATATTTGTTGAAGTTGATCCTGTGGTGATGCATACCACCAGCATTACCCTGGCCTCCAGGGTGCTTCCAGTGCTTGCCTGCAGAAATACAAAGCGATGCAGCCGTGGCCGTGGCTCACGTGGTCCCGAAGTTTCCGGGTCTTCCTCAATCTGGATGGCATGTTGGTGGTCCAGATGAAAGACAGGAAACTTTCAGTCATGGCAGAAGACAAAGGGGAGCAGATTTGTCCTACATGGCCAGAACGGGAGGACGAGAGAGGGCGGGGGAGTTACTACAAACTATCAAACAATCAGGTCTCGCGAGAACTCTGTCATGAGACAGCACTAGGAAGATGATGCTAAACCATTAGAAACCACCCCCATGATCCGATCACTTTTCACCAGGTCCCACCTCCAGCACTGGGGACTATATTTCAGTATGAGATTTGGGTGGGAACACAGATCCAAACCACATGAGTGGCATTAAAGAAGACACTAAAGAACATCACCTATGAGCCAGGCACAGTGGCTCACTCCCACAATATCAGTACTTTGGGAGACCAAGGTGGTGAATCAGTTGAGGTCAGAAGTTCTAGACCAGCCTGCCCAACATGATGAAATGCTGTCTCTACTAAAATATTAAAATTAGCCAGGGTTGGTGGTGGGTGCCTTTAATCCCAGCTACTCAGGAGGCTGAGGTGGGAGAATCGCTTAAACCCAGGTGACAGAGGTTGCAGTAAACCAAGATCGCACCACTGCACTCCAGCCTGGACTACAGAGCAAGACTCCTTCTCAAAATAATAATAATTATTATTATTATAAAGAGAGAAAGAACATCACCTAAGAGATTACTTTGAAGAGTATGGGAAAATTGAAGTGACTGAAATCATGAATGATTGAGGCAGAGGCAAGCAAAGGAACTTTGCCTTTGTAAGCCTTGAGGACCATGTCTCTATGAATAAGATTGAAATACCATACTGTGAATGGCCACAGCTGTGAAGTTAGGAAACTTCAAAGAGTGTTCAGAAACTTCATCACTGTCAGAGCAACAGATGGCTAGTGCTTCATTCAGCCAAAGAAGCCAAAGTAGTTCTGGAAACTGGTGGTGGCTGTGGAGGTGGTTTTGGCATGAACTGTGATTGTGGAGGAAACTTCAGTGGTCGTGGTGGCTTTGGTGGCAGCTATGGTGCTGGTGGATATAGAGGCAGTGGGATGGCTATAATGGATTTGGAAATGATGGAAGCAGTTTTAGAGGTGATGGAAGCTACAATGATTTTCGCAGTTACAACAGTCTTCAAATTTTGGACCCTAGAGGGGAGAAAACTTTGGAGGCAGAAGCTCCAGCCCCTATGGTGATGAAGGCCAATCATTGGCCAATCCATGAAACCAGGGAGGCTCTGGTGGTTCCAGTAGCAGCAATAGCTATGGAAGTGGCAAAAAAATTTTAATTACTTCCAAGAAACAAAGCTTAGCAGGAGAGGAGAGCCAGAAAAGTGATAGGGAAGCTACAGGTTACAACAGATTTGTGAACTCAGCCAAGCACAGTGGTGGCAGCGCCTAGCTGCTACAAAGAAAACATGTTTTAGACAATACTCACGTGTATGGGCAAAAACCCCAAGGACTATATTTCTGAGTAATTTTACAATGGTTATTTTTGTTTCTATTCTGTGGAATATGAAGGGCATTGCACCAAAGGGTTTTTAGCCATGTGAAAATTTCATTCTTAGGGACCACTTTTTTGTTGTTATGACAAATCCACAAAGAACAAAGGTCTTGAGACTCCAAGCAAAGGATTAACATTCATCAAGCAGCCACTGTGTTCCAGGATACAGCATCTCATTAAATCTTCATGTTTCTATGAGATAGATACTGTAATTCCTGGTTTATAACTTCAGTCAACTGAAGCTCAGATGTATCCAGCAATCTGACAAATGTCTCCCAGATAGCAGGTAGTACAACCAAGATTTGAAATAATGTTTCTAATGCCAGAATCCATGCACTTTCTACTATATGATGCTGCCTGTTGGAATCAGAGGACTATGTTGGTTTGAAACCCAGCTTTGCTATTTATTTAGCACTTTGGAAAGTCTCTGATCCTCTGTTTTCTCATTTGGCAATCAGAATGATGATACCGTTTTAATCTCTCCAATTCTTGAGAGAATTATTTGAGACTGTTTCTGAAAGTGTTTTGTAAATTATAAAGAACATTTTGAATGTGTGGCATCTTACACAGTTTCATTTTGCAGTTCCATACTCATTATTTTCCCAGATCATTGGTCTGTGATTCCATTCTGACTTATACTCAGAGATCTTGAAGTCTGTTTAATTCTACAGTTACCTGTCCTGCATTAGCCTAGCCTTCCCTAGAAAATGGACCTAGCGCATTTCATGGGAGAAATTGCATTTCTATTGGGCTCCATTTCTAATATCTTCAGTTAACAGATGGAGGGTAGCACCGAACTAGAGTAAGTTCTCTCGTAGTTATTTAAATCATCAGTTCCTTAAAAAGGATCTTAAGATTCATTAAATATTCATGAAGCATCCTTCCTGGCAGCTCCTCCATAGTAGGTAATTACATAGAGTTTAAAATATCTGATGTTGCTTGGAAGCTCACAAACCTCTGTCAGCTGCAAGCAGACAGCTGATTTGTAATTTAATTAACATCCTGGCTTGTCCTTTCCTTTGTGGAAAAAAAGCAGGAAAGTATTTCCTTTCATTTGTGAGTTCTGTTTAAAAAAATTCAAATGGAGCACCTGGGAGAGCTTTTCATTTTTCACATCAGTGCTGTTACTTACATCCTGCTCCAAACTCTGGAAAAATTCCTCTTTCAAAGGTTCTTTGGGCAAGCCATATTGCTGATTGTGGGTCATTTTTTTGTTAAGGGTGACTTTACTTTGGGAAGATCTGTGTATAATCAGTGAGCTGTGACCCACTTTTATTAACTGTTTTTGTAATTATTTTGAAGGTAGATCTGGCTGCAGACTACTTATTTATTCAACAAACATTTATCAAGTACCTACTATGTGTCAGGCACAAGAGGTCAGATGTAAACTGAACAGGTGGGGCCCTTGACCCCATGGCGGGGTCGGGGTGGGGGGTGGTTAGTTCAATGGAGGAGACAAACAGTAAGCAAGTAATCACAGAAATAAATGTAAAATAAAATGTGCCAAGCTTTATGAAGAATAAGGACAGCATACTGAAAGCCTATGAAGCAGGGAGCAGTGTGCAGAAGCAGGGAGAAAACTTCCTAATCTGAAAAGTCAGGAGGTCACCTTGAGGAAGTGAAGGTGAAAATTATGTATAGTCTCTCTTGCCTTTCCTCCTCCTATTTTTCTCCTATCTAAAACTACCTACACCACCAGATTTGCAAACTATATGTAACCATTTTGAAAGAATGGATTGGAATAATAGAAAGAATGGACAGAAGAGATTGAACTCTGCTCCAGTAAAGACATTATTCAGCGAATTCGTTTCAAATTAAAGAAATGGATATAAATACTTATCACTGCACTGAACAATCCTTCATGTCTCTTATTTTCTTTTTTTTCCTCATGTCTTCCCTCAGGGAGGAAGGCAGTGAGTAGGAGTGAGGACCCAGTAGGTATATAAAGGTGATGAGACACAAGTCATAGATAGGCCAAGGCATCATGGGAAAAAGAAGAAGCTGGAAAAAACGATCTGCTGGCTACCTACTGCAGAAGTCTTACTAAAGAAAATCCCTGAAAGTAAATGTCAATGTGTTTGAACAAAACATTGTCCTCAGAATAAGAAGGTGGCTGGCGGGACCTAGATGGCAATACTCAATTATGGAACTTAAATTTCTACAGCCTTGAGATGAAATGAAAACCCTTTGTTTTCACGTGGTTCATTTTTGAGCTCATTTTCTTTGTCCCTTTGATTTTTCTCCGTTTTCTGAGATTCACTCACCTCTACATTAGTGATCCCTTTGAAATTCTGTTATTTATTTCCAACTTCATGCTTCTGGAGTATGTGCTTTCTTTCAGCCAAAGCACATTGTATAAAAGTAAGAGGCTTTCCTCCAGGAGCAACACTCAGTCAGTCAACCCAGGCCTGTTGGACACACACTATGTAGCATTCTAGCCTGACCACTCTGCAGGATACAAAGATGCAAGTCAAGGTTCTTACACTCAAAGAACTTGGATTAGAGAGGGAGAGATAAGATTTGATACAGAGAATACTGTTTGTCAGTATAGTTAACAGAGGCAGTGAAACTGACAAGTTTTTAATGTCAGGCTTTGTGTTAGGGACTGTAATTATTACTTAATTCTATACCTGCTTTATAATGCTGCTATAAGCCTTAAGTGGGATAGTTTCTGTGACATGCTTAGCAAAGTGTTCATGGATAGTATTCACTATTAGGTATGATAATATACTGACTATTCATATGCACACAAACATGTTCTGGCTCTCTTCAGCTTTTGATTTGTTCTCTCTGTCTCTCATCAGTACAGTGCTAACTCCTGCTACAAGGGGGAAGTAGAGCACTTTTTATTCAGCAACAGAGATAAACTCAGATTTTCACTTATGAGGCCTTGAAATACTTCCAATTTCTGGATCAGTTATGCACTGTGCCAGCAAAGTGCTATCTTTCATATTGCACCAGAGAACCTGTAGTGACGGATCAGGCACACGTAGGATTCTGTGTTTAAATTCTGGGAAACTCAGGATGGTTTGTTCTGACTCACACAGGCATCAGCAGAATATACTTAGCAGAACCTGGTCAGACTTGCTTAGCCTTTTTCTGTCTGTGTTGGCAGGAGTGTGGGAGAAAAGGAGTATGAGTATGATTGCATGCAATCTCAGCTGGGAGGGCTTCCTGATCAGGTGTTACTGCTCAGATGGTTACAGTTTAATTCAGTTACAGTGACATGTACTGGTCTCTTTCTGTGTGTCAGTTGTCAGATAAGCATTGGAGATTCAGAGATGCACATGACTCTACCTCTGCTCTTGAGGCATTTTTAGGCTAGCAGGGGAGACAGGCACATGGACAGGTCATTACAACATGAAGTTCTTATTCATTGGCAAAAACCTGTGCAGAACACTATGGGAGCATAAAGGAGATATAGATGTCCAACCTTTGAAGTCAGAGAATGCTTCTGAGGAGGTAACACTAAATCTGATAATCCGGGACCTAAAAAAGTTTGCATGATGGTGGACTCTGGGGTTGAGGGCAGTGTTAAGCTTCAGAAGGGGGACGAAGATAGAATTCCGGAAG